TCAACTAGCCTATTATAAATTGATATAAATACATCATATTTTAATAAATACATTATATATATTACATACATTTTATATATATATGTGTGTGTGTGTGTGTGTGTATAATTTATGTAATATGTAATTTATATAATGTAATAAAAAATTCAGTATCAAATTGATATAAATACATCAGTTTTTAATAATGATATATATTACATATATTTCTATACATTGGCCTATGTTTATTGTGTGTGTGTGTATGCGTATGTGTGTAGAAATTCTATAATATATAATAATTTATATACATACTTCCAAATATTATATATATGTATGTTGTATGTGTGTGTGTGTGTGTGTGTGTGTGTGTATATATATCTATATATATAAAATGTATGTAATATGTCATTTATATAATGTAGTAAAAAATAAATACATAAGCTGAAGCTCACGTTCAAGCTACTAACCTCCAAGAGTAGCCATATTTGTAAATAATATAAGTAAATATAAATATATATAATAATAAAAAACATTGGTTATTTTAAATAAACACATTATTTATATTATATAAATAATCAATATATTTGATATATTAATGTAAATATGACTATAAAATACAAAAACTATAAGCTCAAGTTCAAGCTAGTATGTAGTATGCACTAATCTCCAAGAGAGCCATGTTTGTAAATATTATAAGTATTATAAATCAATATAATATAAATACAATATAAATACAAATGTATATAGTATAAATAAAAAATATAACTATAAAATACATATATATAAAAAATAAGATAAAGCTAGTTGGTACTCCTAATCTCCAAGCCATAATTGCGTTTGCCTTTTTTTGATAATTTGTATTTTTTTTGGTGTACTCCCCCCACCCCCCAAAAAAAGGGGGAAAAAAAACTTTGTGCTTCAGTTTTTTGCTCCATCACATATGTGGTGCTGAGATCACCTGCCACCTGAGATCAGGTTCGTCTCACACTGCGTTCAAGCTAGTATGTAGTATGCACTAATCTCCAAGAGAGCCATGTTTGTAAATATTATAAGTATTATAAATCAATATAATATAAATACAATATAAATACAAATGTATATAGTATAAATAAAAAATATAACTATAAAATACATATATATAAAAAATAAGATAAAGCTAGTTTGTACTCCTAATCTCCAAACCATAATTGCGTTTGCCTTTTTTTGATAATTTGTATTTTTTTTGGTGTACTCCCCCCACCCCCCAAAAAAAGGGGGAAAAAAAACTATGTGCTTCAGTTTTTTGCTCCATCACATATGTGGTGCTGAGATCACCTGCCACCTGAGATCAGGTTCGTCTCACACTGCATGCAATCTGTTAACAGAACTGATAAACTGCAGTCAGCTGGCATCCAAATTACAGCTCTGATCACAGCCCACACACATCACTTCCAGAGGGCTGCTCTTTAAACATGCACATATGCAAAAGTACACACACTAACACACAACTATCTCTTGTTGGGAGAAATTAACTCCAGATCAGTGCTTGGAGACAGATGGTCTACCAAGACAGAAATCTACCGTGCAGTGCATGTTGCTTGGGGTATTGGAGAGCAATGTGGGTGTAGTTTACCTTGGTACACAGGTACACACACATACACACACAAACTCTATTTACTTACGGTTGAGCCCAACATCATGGTAGGTCAGGATAGCTGGCTTGTTGCCCTTGGGAGCCCCGCGGATCACCACGTGCAACATCCCATAAGGGGTTTCAATGTCATGTTCCTACAACAACAGAAAAACAACAATTTCAGCAAACAGTCTCAGAAGGTCCAAGCCGGTCATGTCCTAATAACCAATGACCTGAAATGGATCTCTTGAGAGGCCTGGATTGTATATAACATCTAAACAGTAGTTGAGTCAAAACCTGCTAAGGAGTAATAACAGTTTGAAAAGTAATTTTTTTAACAGGATCTGCATTTTTATGTTTAAATAAAAGGTTTTGGCTTTAAGAGAAAATAAAAACAACTATGTGCATCAAAACCGCTCCTTTCCTGGTAAAAAAAAACAAAGATTTTCAAAAGTAAATGAATTTGCGACAGCTGAATGTAACATTTTGTCTGTCAAAAAACGCAACACACAGTAGTATTTACAAGAAGTAGAGGTCCAGGGGGAGTACACGCATTACCTGGAAAACCCACACTACCAGATACTTTGACTACATCATCACTTTCCGAGAAGCCTGAGCGGCTTCAACATGCTGTCTGTCAGAGGCTGTAACGTACCTAATACATAACGCACGTGAGAACTAATTTGTTCCTCACCCACTGAAATTGACAGATTTTTTTTTTTGACGGATGTAGATATCTTCTCAGTTGTTTAAAAGATTAAAGCAATTATCAAAGATTGATAAAACGTTGTTTAATTTTCCAATAAAAGATTATACATTTTTACATCATTTGTTACATTTAATTACTCCTTAGCAGATTTTGACTTACAACAATCAACTACTTTCAATGGGTAAAGAAAAAAAATCTATTTAATCAAGAGTGGCAAGTTAAAAACAAGACTAATTAATATCTCATTAAGCATCTCTGATCCCAGATTCACTGCACACGGTCATGTAACACTTTTAATTGCCTGTTCCAAAGGCATTTTAATCTGAACTGACCCACATTTAGTCTGAGACTTTATTCCGAGCAGAGGAGTGATGGAGGTATGTATGCGTGCATGTTGTTTTTCTTGTCCTGAAGATTATTTCAGCATCTCTAGCTTTCCAGTGTTATGCACAAATCCTAGTAGACACCTCGCAGGCAGCCCACTTCTGAGCTTAACGCAGAGCCACAGAGAGACAGGAAATAAATCTCCCGTGGGGTTTAAACCCCTGTCACTTGGTGTTTTTGATGCTGGAAAAACCATGAAAGGTCAGGGCAGATGCAATGGTCTTTGTGTGTGAGTTTAGGACAGCTGTTTGTGTCCCTCTGTGTTTAGATTGAGATAAAATCTTGTGACAGCTGTCACTGTGCAGCGAAATGTTGAGCATGTTTTCTAGGGAGATGATATGCAACAAACACTAACAGGATAAACAGGAAATTTGACCTAGATTCAACAATATTATGCAAATATGGGGCAGAAAATAGTAAAGCTGTTCATCATCTCTAATGAAAATCTCTTGTCGCTGCTAATTTTTCATTCTCAAGGTCACACAACTGACCTTGTATGAGGATTTTTATGATTAGATTGCAGACATAAGATTTATCATCAGCACCGCATGCGCAAACACATATTTCTGAACACTCTCCAGGTTACTGCAGAGGTACATCAGAGTGTCAGTGCAAATGGCCACCTCACACATGACTGGACATTTCTGCACAACACAGAATTCTAAACACACTTTTTAAAGATGTAACATTTATTGCTCTATATCTTTCTCTCTCTCTTTTTTTTTTTTTGGTCGAAATTTATTTATTTTTTACTGCTCATTTTATTATAATTATTTTTTTTAATATTTGTATTAAATGTTAGTTTTTTTTTGTTGTTGCTTAAGAAGATGCTGCTTTGTTTATGATGTTTTAGTGCAATAATTAGCCATTGTAAATTAAAATAATCATAGATTATCATCAAATGATAACAATAATTACCCATCAAGAAAATGTGCAATGTAATTATTCCACAATTACCAGATCAGTAGGTCAAGCTAGTTAATTCTGTAGAAAAATATTACTATTTTATTATTATTTTTTCTATTAAATATTATGACACTTTTTTTTTACATTTAGAGGATGCCGATTTATTTTTGATGATTTTAGTATAATAATTAGCTGTTATAAATAAAAATAATTTGATATTATCATAGAATGATAACAATAATTAGCCATCAGGAACTGTAAATGTGCAATGGAATTGTTTCGCAATTACCAGTTCAGTCTAGTCATTTCTGACCACAATGCAAATCAGTAGCAAGCTATTTAACCAGCCAAACAAGTAATTATTATATAGTGTACAAATTATTATTACAAAAACATTGTATCTCACACACTATATTTACATTTCTGTAATCACAGATATCCCACTCACCCCATCCCAGCACTCCGGCATGGCTGCTTACAGATTGTGTACGCTTGCTTAAAGGCGTATATTTGAGCAGGAAGAAGACAAGGTCCTCTCCGGGAAATCGGACTCGGATGCAGGCAACCAGAGAGATGCTGCGGTTGTTACAGCGTCTCTTTGTCTCTCCTCATTCTGGTCAGGGTAGTTTTGCAGTGCTGCTGCCCCTCCCCCGACACAATTTCATACCCCACCCCTGTCCTCTCATTGGCTGTCCACAAAAATGGCTGCCTGTTATTGGCTGGGCTTTGTGCCACTCTAAATCTGTTGTGTTCTGTCTGGATTTGTCCCATATTTGCAATCTTTATCTTCTGCATGCCTATAATGGCCTTTAATATAGATATTCTATAATTTTATTGCAATTTAGCAGCTTGGTTTTCTATGAATAGAGGGTTTGTGTCATTGTTTACGATTAACTGCATGTTTAAATGCTTCTGCATATGGTTATTTATCATTCGAATATTATTATTAGACAAAAACACAACACACACACCGAAACAGGCCAGGTCAAAGGACAGTGACAATTTCATGGCAAGGCTCTTGCATGAGTTGTGTATGTGACAGTAAGTGTCTGTGTACGTGCGCTCCAACATGTACACGAGGTACATGGCCCACTTTTGAGACAAGGATGTATTTACATGTGCTGTATTCTGTAGTAAACTACCTCTCTATGAATTTTCAATCTGCATTTTCGGTCTAAGAGGACCATGCTGACTCAAATGCATCTTTTGAGTTTTCTCTTTGGACATGGAAGATTAATCTCTTTGTGGCTGACTTGACTTTTGTTGTCTCGCTTAAACGCACAACCTCTATCTCCCTCTCTCAATTGCAGATCTCATGCACTGTGTAAATACAGTTGCATTGTCATTGTCATAAAAGGATGGACTCCACCCTCCACATCAAACCATACACATTTACACATAAATGTTAACAGGTTTAGTGCTTAATCTAATGTAACAGGCATTTTTAGTTCACGAACAAAGTAAATGTAGAAATCATCATTTAAAAAAAAAGACTTTTAATTGGTCTTTTATTAGCCTTGAGTGCCTTATTGTTATTATGAAATGGTTACTGCCCATCCCAATATGTATAAACAGTACAAAACTGATAGAATGTACCTTGAATGCACTGTAGGTTGTGTAAATGCATCACAAAAATTTTATCTTTAATCTTTTGATGTTGAATTCTCGTTCTAAAATATTATTATATATTATTGTATCTAATGTATTTTATAACCAAAATTAAAATTTGGAAAAAAAATAAAGCATTTCTGTTAGTCATGACTTTTGGCTTATTAACTTTTATTAATAAAGTAAAAAATTAGCTTTTTAACATGCAGCTACTTTTTTAACAATGATATTACTGCAATTTATACCTAGGCCAACATATTTTGGGTTTTTTAGTATGGCTGTCTGGAATGCTATATTGAACAAGCGGACTCTATTGCCAAATCTGATTTATAATGTCACATTTCATTTTTCTTTGTTGGCATTAGGTAACCGTATTGCGCTAGCAAACACCTATTTAATTATCTGTTCTCCATCACAATTAAAAACTCTCACTTGATGAGCATGCGGCTTACAAATCCTATCATCTCCAGCCCTCTCTGCTGTTTGGATTTCTCACTGTTTTATTCAAATTCTTCTTTCTGTGATTTAGGCCTATTTCTGTCAGAGGTGTGAAGAGATGATGCAAACCGTGAGACAGCGACAAAACTAAGGTGATAAAGTTCTTATACCTCAACTTTTATCTCCGTAGTTTGACTTCAATTACAATTTGATCTCTGTAACTCAGTGTAACTCTTAGAGCACATTAAAAGCTGAAAGAAACTGAATATAATTTATGAATTATTATATTATATTATATTACATTGGTGCACATAGAAATGTATTACAAATTTATTAGGTTGGATGTCATGTTGACAGTTAAACTACACTGTAAAAAAAAATTCTGTAGTTTTTACAAAATAATTTTGGCAGCTGTGGTTGCCAGAATAATTTTGTCAGTTTTTTTCCGTAGCATTTTTACAACATTTTACAGTTAAAATTACACTTATTTTTTACAGTGTACCAGTTGTAACCAACAGGCTGGTACTACAAGTTGCTGTTAGTGCTCTGAATAGGATATTGATTGAAACTCAGGAGGTCATAGCAGCACCTCCATGTTTTTCATTCTCTATCACGCTCTCTCATTAACTGTAATTGTTAGCACATTCCACTCTCTAGCCAAGACAAACAAACAATACGTCTTTAATCATCAAACGGAAAAAAAGGAATAATGAGGCTATGTCAGCCTCATTATCATTAGTATAAATCTTAAGTCAATATCAAAAATGCAAAAGGAAGATTCACAATACCTTCCAATCTCCTTCTGCCACAAAGGTCTCACAGTTTTCCTGCAGGAACACAAAAGGTCAGGTTCATCAAAGCCAAAGCACATTCGTTTTAATATGCTATCAGAATCAAATAAGCAGCAACTGGAGCAACACTCTGCAAGGTCCCGCCAGCGAGAAAAGGGTTTCTGTGATGGAAACATTTACTTGAGCTGTTGTTTCTAGAACATTGAGGTTTTTGTCTAGGGTGTAAAATGTACTGAGAAATTATACTTAAATTAAAGTATAGATATCAACATTTTACTCAAATGTCAAAGTATCCAGCCAAAAACATTTAGAGTGAAACCAAAATGTTTCTCAAATGTATTTGTTCAATTTAGAAGCAAATTTTTTAAATTACATTTGAAATTGACTGGATTTTCAAGAGGAAATTATAAAGTGGAATCTAGATTTACATCATGATGACCAGTGATATACTTTTTAAGGAGTATTAAAGTATTTTTTTCTATAAGAAAAGCTGCAGCTATTTATTTTACACTGAGTAAAGTAAACATGCCCTAAAATAATACCGCATACAATAATAAAGTATAATTACTCAAGTACTTTACACCCCTTGTTGTTGTTTCACTAGGCATGATTGGTTAGTATGTGGGTGGCTTAGCTGGCTTCAGATCAGCAGCTATTTGTGGAAAGATAAAACGTGCAAGCTGAGCTTGCTTCAGTGCTGATATGAGGCCTGTTTAACTCCATTATACATTTAAGTATAATGGTTAGCATTTTAATGGCCTGAGCTGGTCCAACACCAGTATTAATGAGTAAAGACACTGTTAAGAACACAATGTGCTATGGGAAAAAAAAGGTGAAATGAGTACAAAACACAGTTGTTAAAAGAACAACTTGAAAACAGGACAACATCTCCTTGCCAGACAACTGTATCACAATACAGTCACCATAGGAATAACAATAAAATCCTTCTCATTCTTCTGAAAAGGTAAGGAAACATGAGTTAGCACACTCTACGTGGGATCAAAACAAAGCATCTATTTTGGAAAAGCAAGTATCACTTATAATGTGATTCTTGTGCAGATTGGCAGAAGCAGGAAGAAACCCACAAACCTAAAGAAAGAGGTTAGTGCATGCAGTTTGAGCTGTTGGCAGCCGAAAAGCAAAAGCAGTTTTACTGTCGGACCAGCAGGTGTCACTCCTTTTCATTGAAACTCTAATGCAGTACTTTCGAGAGTGCAAAAGGGGGCAGCCTTATGGGTAAATAACAGTGTGCTGATTTCTACGGTGGCCGATCGAACCCGGGTCGATCGCGTCAAAAAACCAATGACACGCACTTATCCAACTGCACCACTGGAGCTGATGTTTTACTGCAACTTTTAACTAAATGTAAATAGACACCCCGTATTTTTTATTCCAGAGTAATGACAATTCATACAATACATTTAAACTGAGCTACTTTAATACCATCTCCGACCTTTCTACCACGACTCTGCTGTTCTTCGGCTGGTTCTTCCCTGTATACGTTGATTGACAGATGTCTCGTCCAGTCAGTGGTGAGTAATCCCAAACCAATGGCGCTGTCTCAAACTATACCTACCTTTTCCGGTTGGTCTGATTTGTCGTTGTGTTTTCTGACTTGTAAATTTGTTTTCGGATTTGTCGTTGTGTTTTCTGACTTGTTATTTTGTTTTCGAATTTGTCATTGTGTTTTCTGACTTGTTATAATGTTTTCTGAATTGTTGTGCTTTCTGAATTGTTATTTTGTTTTTTAGACTTGCATTTGCGTTTGTAATTTGTTATTTTGTTTTCAGAATTGTGATTTGCTCTGCACTTCTCGGCCACCGTAGATTTCTTCTTGAGGAACTGAAATTTATGACACTAGTATATAAAGCTTTCTTCACATTGTGCATAAAGCTGATTTGTGTTTCAAATCCCATCTTAAGCAATGCCATTTTGCATCCACAGTCAGAATCCAGCATATCTACATAGGTTGCCATAGTAATGATATAGGTGTTAGCACAATACTAAACAAGAGTCTGTGTGGAAAGAATTGAATTTTGCCTGTGCTCATGTCCATCATGATATCTTGCTATCATGGCAACATATTCAGAGCCATTACTGTACACATTTAATCATATGTTTTGTTAAAAATCACTCACTTGTTCTTGTTCACTTTATGAATGCCATATGTTAACATAAGTGATTGTATTCACACACAGCTATTGACATTTCTAAGCTTTTCATATGACGTTACAATCATGTTGCAATAAATATCCAACAAAAACCTTAAAGGGATAGTTCACCCAAAAAATTAAATTCTGTCATTAATTACTCACCCTCATGTTGTTCCAAACCCATAAGACTTTAATTCATCTTCGGATCACAAATTAAGATATTTTTGATGAAATCCGAGAGCTTTCTGACTCTCCATAGACAGCAACGCAACTACTATGTTCAAGGCCCTGAAAGGTACTAAGGACATCGTTAAAGTAGTCCATGTGACATCAGTGGTTCAACCGAAATTTTATTAAGCTTTTTTGTGTGCAAAGAAACCAAAAATAACATGCATCTTGGTACTCTCATGAACGTGCGTCGAAGACTGACACGGAAGAGAAGAAATTGTTGAATAAAGTCTTTATTTTTGTTTTCTTTGCACAAAAAAAGTATTCTCATAGCTTCATAAAATTAAGGTTGAACCACTGATGTCACATGGGCTATTTTAACAATGTCCTTACTACCTTTCTGGGCCTTGAACATGGTAGTTGTGTTGTTGTCTATGCAAGGTCAGAAAGCTCTCGGATTTCATCAACAATATTTTGTGTTCCGAAGATGAACGAAGAAGCTGAAAGACAAAGCTAAAGACAAACCTGTGACTTGTTGATGTTTTTTTTTTTATACTATTATCATGTGCAAAGCAATTAGCTTAAGAAAATAATAATAAAAAATAGCAATAATAAAATGACACAGGTAATCCACTGATCGTTGTTTAAAATTGTGCTAATGCTAATTAGCAGTGTGTTTGAATATAAACATTGTGCCAAAAAGAACATTTCTATGTTGCACACATCACAATTTAAAATCTGTAATTTTCCCCAAATAAGACAGCATGTGAAACTGTGAATGGGTTTTTTGGTAGAGACTTGTGGAGAGACAAAATATCAGGCCTTGTTTGGTCTTTTCTAACAGAGCTGCATCTAAAGTAACAAAGGACTTGAGAGAAATTAGTATCTTTTAGTTGGAAACATGGACGTGCTCTGTGCGGTAATCAGCCTACCGGGAAGTACCCGCTGGTCCGAAGGCGTGTCAGGCCGAGCCAGTGTCGGGCGATGGCATGCCAGCGTTTTGGGGGACGAGCCGTGGGGGGGGAGGGCGTAGCACAGGGCAGCACGTGCACACACTGTCCTTTAGCCTGCCACGTTACACACAGACACAAACACTAGTTACAGCAAACTACAGTAGACAGTGCCCTCAATAGGACCGGAGGACAATGCTTTGGTGGCAGAGGTGAGAAGCTGAAGAAAAAATGATGATATGCATAAATGGTACTGTGTGATATGTGGGGAATATAAGCAGCAGATACAATATCCACACAACAAGCTGAATGAATGAATTGCCATGACTTCCAATCATTTGCAATTAGTTCATGTGAGTTTTTATAATCTTTTTACAGATTACACTTAGCAGTTTGACAAAATGTTCTAGAGCTGAACATGAATGGAAAAATATTAATTTCTAGATTTTTTATGCTGAGAAAATACACATTTTTCATTTCTAGTTCATGACATCAACTAATGTGAACATATATAACTTTATTGTTACGTGTTACCAAGAATTTATAAAATTCCTGGCCTGGAAAATCTAAATTTTTACACTTCAAATTAAAATTTAAAGCAGTGCATTTTATTGATTGTTGACATTGATTTAATCAGATAAGGGTTAGAAATTACAGTAGGTCGCATCATTAATCAGTGGATTTCAGATGTACTAGCACCACTCAAATGTCTATTATTAATTGTGCTCTGATGAATATCAGAGCACTTCTAACGAAAAGCAAGAAAGTAGTTCACCCCTTGTTGTCCAGTGTCCTAAATTTTTAACTGATATTTTAAAGACATTTATTTTTACTAGCATTAAAGACATATCATGCTTTTCATTTCACATTAGCTTAACACAGATGTGTGGATTAAGATGAAATGTGGTATCTGGTAAGCATAGATAAATCCTTTATCATGCACACACACTCATCCAATTTTTTGTTCTCTTGCCTAAAAACAGGGGGCCATTTTTAACTGGTCTACTATATTTAGCCATGCACACACACTCACACACACACACACACACACAAACACACACACTCACCATCTCTGTTTCCTGTCCCCTGGATTCTGGCAGTAGTGGTTTCTCTTCAGTGAACTGTTGATCCTTCATGCCAGCCATCCTGGAGAGCAACCTGTAATCACCATGGCAACACACACACCTGAGATTAACAAGGCTATTCGACAGCAAACCAAAATCTAATCAATCCGCCTGGTGCTCCAATATTGAAATATTACCTACACCACTCAAATCTTGTATACAGTCCCTGCTGGGGAAAAAAATCAGATCATACCAGCTTAAAGACCCAATGATATCAAAATTGTAGTTCCTCATGATATCTAAATTGTAGTTTTGTGGCTTTTATTCCATGTCTGTTAGCTTTGAGATCATCTATATTATAGAGTATTCAAAAAAGTTGACTAAATTAACTTTAATCAGATATACGCATTTAAAATGGACAGAATTTCTCTAACCGAAAACAGACCACAAATGTTGATGACTCATCCTGCACTACAGATTTTTGTCCAATCAGATGTTCTCTAGAATCCAAATGTCCCTCCACCTTATACCACCTGCAACAAATTAACAAGTGCATATGTTAATGGCTGAGACATAACCTCTTCAATATGCCCTGCCCAAACTTCCTGTTTCAATAGGAAATATGTAACAACTGCGCTTGTTAAACAATTTCCCAGGGGTCTTTAAGGTGGTAAAGCTGGTCAAGGTGTGTTTTGGAACATACAGTAGCTAAGTTGGTAGGGACTAGTGCTGTGTTCAAAATATCGATACGACGATGTATCGTCACAGAGATTTGACGATACGAGTATCGATGCAGCTGGCCCTGTATCGATATTGTGGCACGTGTGCAGCAGTAGACCGCGCTTAATTTGAATACAAGAACAATGTTTAAAATTGAGCAGAAAAGTGCGAGGTTTCTAAAAAATAATGAATAGAGAATAATATATAGGCTACAACAAGGTTTAATCTGGCCGCAGAGGAACACAACTGGGTTGTCTGATATAAAGAGACGTAATCCCCAAAATAGAGCTTCACACTTACGCAATACGGAAATATCTGCTAAATGTGTTACTTATCTTTGTCAACCTGGCAACCATGTGCACATGGAAAGATGCAGAGATGCAGAAACACTGCAAAGATGCAGTGCGAGGAGTTGCATTTCAGCACCTGGTTTTATTGCATAGACGTGCAGGTGTGTGCACTTTTATATAGAGACACTTCAAGAAGGCTGCAACAATAGAACGCAGAGGAACGTTTTTAAGCTTCTGTAGTGAATGTTTGTAATGATTGTTTTCTATATGAACTCATTTGAATGCCAAGATTTTAAGTTTTTAAACTCTCTCCACTGTGGATAAATGAACTTGCTTTCTGAAAACAGCGGTTAGCTTGCAGTTTAGCGATCTCCACTTCAATAATAAGCGGAGCTGCGCGGAAAGTTACAAAAAAATGCACGGGAAACGACGTCGCACGCACTCAAAGCGAACTTCCGCCAACACCGCGATTACGGCATATTTGCCGCGCGCACCTAAGCGAACTTGCGGACGCGTCGAGTATAAATCAGCCTCGAGACTAGGTTGATACCAGCTAACCATGGTTGTGTCTCTTTCCACTCCCTAGTTCTCTATGGAAAGAATCAGTATATCATAAACACGATTTCGGGCATTAGCAAGGACCTTGATCCAATAAACATTAGGATACTAATGACTCAATTACATGCAACATGATTATGACATTATGCATTTAACATATCAGCAACATTACTGGTCTGATGGCTTGAAGGACTGAAGAAGACAAAATTTTCATACACTGCAGTAGCTTATGCTTTCATTCATGAATGAATGTTTCAGTACACTGGAATGTCTTATGGTCTGTGTGCACACCAACAGCGAAGCAAATATTCGCATCATGTTATCGCACTAGATTACTGGCGGAAAGTTTTCAACTTGCGTAGAAGACGCGTTTGAGGCGTATATCGCGCATTTGTGGCAAACGCGTCACCCGCAATTGCACTGACTTTGTATGTAATCTACTCACGTGAATAATTACATTTGTTTTTGGTGTGCACACACCATAAGGAATGGCTGGCTACCTGAGCAGTGTACTAATTACAGAACTAGGGAGCGGATTGAGACACACCCCATGTAAAACCAGCTACCATCAGAAGTTGGTTTTAACTGCATTTTTTCAGCAGGCATGCTAATCTGGCTCCAAATAATTTAAAACTACATGTGGTTATGGGGTTTCGTGGACTTAAAATGAGGTGGCATTGTGAACATGGCTTGAATGTTGTTTGGTGGTCAGGTTCACGATGACACAAAAAGGCACAGACTTGTCAGTCTCCAGGAGCACATGGCCAATTGTGACATTAGCTCTCAGGTTGTCAAGGCATCTGTTGATGGATGAGACAATGTACTTTTCCATTAGATTCTTATTAAACATCAGCTGTGCAGCTGAAGGTAGTCGTCTCATGGGAGCTCTGTCAGTGTCAACTGATATTTCGATAACACAATGCCAAGCTAACGAACACCTCCACAGCCTACTGCTAACTTTATTGGACTCTAATAGTTCTGCAAACACATGCGTATGTAGATGAAGATTATGACGCATGCCGTTATTTACAACTTTAATGGAAATATTGCTAGTGTAATCATTTAGGCTAAGCAAACGTCGTTAGCAAGTTTTAGTAGCATTTCTGAACATCTAACGTTCCTGCCATCCAAGTGCTGTGAAAACGAGTAAACAAGAACATGAATGAGAAATAATAAGGAAAAACAACCTCATCAAATATTAGTGCAGATTGTTGCCACTTTTACTCAAGAGATGACAGAACACTTTGATATATCATTCTCTTGCAAGAGTCGCACAATAACTGAGTTTAATTCAGAACACTTCAAGTCAACCGAAAAGTCATTCCACTCTTATTTCCTGTCAGTGCCAAGAGCTGCATGAATCTGGAATCATGGGCAGTGTAAATCAAACCCTCAGATGTGAACGGATAGAATGATTCAGAGCCCTGCAGGGAATGATTATTTTGGTTGCATAACACCTCCCATGAGGTGATTATAACGAGGTCTAGACATGACCACAATACTCTCAATTGGCCTCTCTTTCTCCCTCCCTTTCCTCTCTGTCACGATCTCTCTGTTGCTCTATCTTGCCTTCCCGCCTCCCCCACATGTACTGACCTTTCTCAGATCATTATTATAATCATTAGTGCTCTGTTTTGCTACACCATAATAGAGAAACATTTTTACTCTTTCTAAACAGAACGTGAGTGGTGCTTGCCAGTGCTTCCACGCAGCCATAATTGCTATGTAGTTTCTATGGTGTTCTGGTTGTTTTTGAGCTTGTTGCATGTGGTTGTTGACTAGCCCAAGTCAACCGGGTCCAGCCTAAATGAAATTCTGGTCACTAGATAAGTCTAGTAGCTTATAAAGGTAATACTACACCTCTCCACAACAAGCTGCATAATTTAAGGCGGGAGTTACATGCCAAAGTTTAATACTGAGGACTGGTTTGTTCATATCTCTAAACCCAAGTATGAGCAATAGTAATAACAACCTTAGCATGTACCAATAACTAATTATTGACTAAACACTGACTGGCTTTTGGATTGTGTGGGTAAAGATAAATAATTTGGATCCATGATATTTAAAAGTGTATAAATATAACAGCTAATTTATGATCATCAATATTAATATCATCCTATACTAAAATTACAGCATAAAGAACAAATAAATGTATTCATGTCAAATATCAACCTGTAACCCTTCTTGTTTGAAGAGATTTATTTTTGTGGGTTCTGTACCCCTCAGTGTTGCCATGGTAACCTCTAGTAATGTCAGTAGACGCCCCTGCAATCTTCAGGGAGTTGGATAACCTTTATCTTTCCTTCTTTATCCTTTTCAACAGAATCACTGCTAGTCCTAACTGCAGTACTAGAAAAACAGAGAGTTTGGAGTCACCAAGATAATGTGTTAACTCTCAGACATGTTGAATCTAAATAGAGTTCATGTATTGAGCAGGCGACATCAGCCAGAGCTTTTTTGACTCTGTTCAGTGACAAAAAAAAATAAAAAAAGTGTGCATAAGAGAATATGACACTGGAAAGACCATTGGAGGAGTATTCTGTCAGACACCAAATCAACAGATATGCTCAAAGGCAAGGGTCTGACCTAATATACAGAATCCCAATCAATACTTGGAAACTGGGTTAAGACAATGTATCTATGGCAAACTAAATCTATGGCGAACGGCTTTAGAATGATCTAAAAGCATTCTCTGAATGCAAAACAGGCGAAGGATCTTGGCACAAAACGTCAAGAAGCTGAGCAGTACAGTCTCCTTGGCATCTCTATTAGGTTATACAAGTGATCGAAGTTTTAATTAGCCATTTGGATGCTAACATAATCGAGGTAAATAAAAAGAACATGGCTGCATAAGCAAGGTGTAGAGAGTGCTAAGTACCACCCACATGCTGGCAGAATCAAATATACCAGGAAATAAAAATAAATAATGTCATTGTGGAAGTATGGGAGAAATCAGTGGAAGACCTGAGCTGTTGTAGTTTTTACAAAGCACTTGTTGCTGCCTGGAAAAAGTCAAACGTCAAGACAAATACAGTATCTTCCTTTTACGCTTATTGAAAACTGGCTTCATTGCTGAGTTAGTTTTCTCTGTGTTTTTATAGAATGAATGATCTTCTTGTTCTTCTAATGTGTATATTTCACTCATGTCCAAGATTCTTATAAGGATCCACTTTATAAGGTCAAATGTTGAGGGTGATGGAAAACGAAACATGTTAAGCAAAAAAAAAAAGCTCAAATGGGCATAAAAACACAACTAGCTCACATAACCCTCACAATAAATAGACTGTTCCAGGAACTTCAGTCATAAGGCGCTTTCGCACCACGTAGTTCTAGGAACTAGCCAGCAGGGTGGTTCGTAGTTCTAGAGAACCAATTTCCCCCTCAGGTCGTTTTCCTGGTTGCATTCGCACCGGCAGCAGCCGATAGTGACATCTTTATTTGCGGCATTTACAAACATCAACAACCGGTGAATGGAGGACACCGCATTCAAAGCTGTTTTTGATGTTTGTTGTGGGTTTCGTGATAATGGAAATAAACGCACAATTTACGCGATTAAAAGAGCATGAAAATCTGACTAAATCTCCAATGCAACTTGCAGTGTTATCATCGAGGCTGAGGAAAGAACACAATGCTGCAGACAACAGGTAAATACCATTATCGCTGTTTTGCATTTTCGTGGAGTAAATATGTTTACATGGCTTTTCAAAAATGCTGGGTAGCTGGTGTTTCGTATACGTTTGGCCAGTCACCGTACACTGCGTCACTGATAGTTCCTATAGGACTGTTTTAGACCCTACTCTGAAGTAGGAGCTACATTAGTTCCCCCAAACGGAGTTCCTAGAACTATATACGTTCCTAGTCCTTCCGGTGCAAACATGCCAAAAACAGGAACTTCCGCCAATAGTTCTAGGAACTATGGAAAGGTTCTTCCAGTGCGAAAGCGACTATACACTAATGCACACCCTAGTCCATTAAACCTGTGTTTCTCAACTCGAGTCCTGAGGACCCACCTACCAGAATGTTTTAGATGCCTCATTAATAAAACACTTGATTCAGCTCATCGGATTCTTAGTGTGTTAGATATGGAGGAATCTAAAACATTCTGGGAAGTGAGTTCCAAGTACTGTATACAGACAGTACAATAACAGAATATGTCTTATATTAAAATCGAGATAAAAAGCAGCTGTGGAACTCAAATAAACTTGTTGTAATCTCAACCCCTTAGAGAGCTCACTTCACACCTCCAGTGGGATTTTGGGTAACATCTGAAGGACCAGTCATGGCTATCTGGCTTTCAAAGACGCTCTGATAGTGTTGTACCACCAGAATCAACCATGTTTTCAACCCCTCACACTGCCTTTTGTCAGGAGCTGCCTAGTGCTGTAAGCCAGGCTGACGGAAGGTGAGTTGGTATGTGGTCCTCAATAACGCCATTTTACCTTGGCCGAAAGTACAGTAAGCTGGCCGAACCTTACCTTAAAACAGGTTTCTACTGTATGGATCAGTAGGAAACCAATCCTGAGATGTTAGGTGTGGTTTCCTTGAAATATTAATGGTTCCATTTTGATAAACAGCCTGCATCTAAAAGCTTTCATGAAGCAATATTTCGCCTCGGCCTGGGCATGTATCACAGCTGCACACTTATTTAGGTCAGAACAAAATACAATCAAGTCCATAATAGTTTTCTTCACTCATGTGCAGTCAAATTATTCATGGAGATTTTTCATTTATTGTAGTTCATTAACATGAAATTGGTGTCACATGGCTCAGTTGATTATAAGCTGCATTGGGGGCACTGGAGGTCAAGAACTGCAGAAGGCAATTCGAGATTTGAAGGACCCTCTTGAACAGAAAAACATTCAAAGTACAAAAGCCACCAAAACAGAACAATGGACATCAAGGTTGATATGCATCTTTGCATATGAACATTTATTTTCAGTATCAAAAAACACGTAGCTCAGGCAACAACTGATTGGAAGACATTCAAGACTTCATAATTCAGATTCCTAATGTATATAGTGGACATGAGACTTACAATAAAGTATAAAATAATCTTTTTAGATGAAATCAGCTTGAACATAAACCTAAATGAACGGATTGTTCAGAGACTGAAGGCTGAAACAATAAACAGCTATTGGGCGATGAATTATGAAGAATGATCTACGGCAGTAATGATGGTTATTAACACTTGACCTTGTTTGGCCATTGCCCAGTGATTGGTCGACAAATCAAGGTGTGATCATTATGTGGTCAGACACAGCAACGGGCCATGGATTTCACAAGCAAAGAGACGAACAAAAAATGAAGGGATTGATGCTAAAAAAACGGAAAAGAAAGGCTAGAACCTCGGTTACAGGCAGAACTACGTACATTGTCTGCAGCAGGCTCTGTGGAACCATGCAGCTAGTCTTGGATGGGAAGTTCCAGAACAATCCAGGCCCCATCTATCAGTACAAAACAAGATCCATTTGTAATTCAGCTATACACAATATTCGGTATTCAGAAAACTCTCACAGTAAGTACGTTAAACTGGGCAATATATTGAAGAAGCCCCCTCAGAGTTGAGCTTCTGTACACTAATATGCAAACTTGTCCCAGGGCATGCCTCTTACAAAGAGATGTTTTATGAAAAGGTTCCAGACAATTCACAAAATCCTCTATAAATAACATTATTTATATAAATCTCAAGCCAGGAGAATATCTATTAAAGTAAAGCTAACATGCAGTTTATTGAAGAGTCTTTTTCCATGCTCAGTGATGGAACAGTACAACAGTTCTAACAGGGAAGGCTTCCAGGCGGTATGGGTTTTGTACGAGTGAGACAGAAAAGTTTCCAAGGCGTCTGTTGCATTGTTATTGTCACGGTCCGGATGTGTGGAGGCAGGCAGGACGACGAGGACGATATGGCGAGGAAATGAGCAGCAATCTCCATCTTGTGTTTTTGGGTCGGTTATTCTGTCACGGTCCGGATGTGTGGAGGCAGGCAGGACGACGAGGACGACAAGGATTCCAATAATGACATTTATTGTTGACACAACAAGGCAGGTTCAGGTAGGTGAGACACACACTCGGGGTAACATTAACAATAACCGACACCAATGCTCAGACAGACAGGAACTAATATGGGGTGAATAATTAGAGGCAGACAGGTGAGCACAATGACGGTGATTAACTAATGATTAGACGGGCTAAACCAACACAAAGGGAAGAAACCACAACAAACAGTCCACAGGGGCGTTACAGTTATATAATGTAGAAATGGGGGCATCTCGTTGTTGTCTTGCAGGGAAATTTAGCAAAAAAAAGAAAAGAAAATTAATCAGCCTTGCGTCATGTTGCGTCAGTATTGCCATCTTTTTTACAAGGCTGAATGAAAGATATCCATTATTTTCAATTACTCATTTTCAAAACCATGCCACATAATATCATTCATCTTTACAGCTGTAATCATCACACAAATTAGTAATTGAAGTACCTGCTTGAATTTCCACCAACCTTTCAGTTACACAGACAAAATGTATTTCAGCTGCACGCCATGTTGTCAACCAAGTGTGACAAAGGTGTGGCAGTTGCCATTAGCTGTAGAATAAAACTGTTTTATTTTAAATTCAACATAAAGATTCTCATTTTAAGGCACGTGCTAACAACATCATCCATCACCCCTTTAAAACTGAAAGTGTCAAGGCTTATGATAAGTCAGTTTATCCACCCTGGAAAGTTCCACGGCCCTCCTGGCCTCCTATGCAAGCTGGCACACAACCAGGTACACTGGCGTCAGATATTCTGTGAAGTGTTATTGAGATTAGGAAAACAAAAGCTCTGCTTATCTGTTATTGCACAGACCTGAATACTTCTCAACACCACAGCAGATAGCATTACTCCAATGAACAGGAAAGGACACTTGTTAGTAGACTTACCCATAATTTAAGGGGTGGTCTGGATGGACTGCGACTGGCTTGCTGTTTTTGGCAAAGCTTCCCTGTCTGACGCAGTTATTTTGCAGGGTTAATAAATTTAACCTGTGGACCTCCCATTCACGCCAATGCAGAGGCTGGAACTATGAGGTGTAGCTTATGACACAAGCACTGTAATACTCGCAGGAGGGACTCTAATGCTTCTCTTCAGATGGAGTCCCTCAAGGCCTTGTGTTGAGGCACTTTTTGATCTGATTGTATGTTCATACAGTACACCTTGTATCGAAACAACCAAGTATTTAACATGACCTAACAACAGAACAGAGTTCTCTTGAATGATCATTTTAATTTGTGCATCTTTGCAAAAATGAGCACAATAACCAAAGAGATATTTCTTACCTCTGCTGAAGGACTGTGTTCTGTTGTCGTCTTAAAGGATTCTGATGTGTTTAGCCTCTTTTTGTTTGCTCGTGAGTGTGTTTCGGAGCGATGCTGTCTACCCAGTGAGAGCTATGCTGTGTGAATCTCTCTACCTCTGTTCCACCCTCCCTCATTCGCTCACTCTTCCCCTCCCTTCTTTTGCTCTGTAATAAACAGAGAACACGTGTCCGTTTGGATGATGCAGCCTGAGCCATACCAACAGATGAGAGTGAGACAGAGGGAGGGAGAGAGTAAGAGCAGTCACAGAGAGGGACAGAGAAGAGGGACACAAGGAGAGAGAGATAGGAAATTGGATACAGGAGAGGAGTGAAAGAATAGCGAAGGGCAGACAGGAAGGAGGGAAGGAACCAAGGAGAAAGAGAGGAGAAAGAAGTAGTGAGACAGGGATATTGAGTAAAGCCTGGAGGCTTAGAATGAAAGGCTGTCCAATTAGACCACAAGTGGTAGCTCTGTACAAATGATTCTTACACTTCAGGGGGAAGGCACAAATTTGGCAGCATGAGCTTTTATCAAGTCAGCTTTTACTAGAAACTGTTCTCCCAAGATTATTAGCACATACTCATATACCCACCCAAACACTGCTATAACAAACCCACACATTTACTTATCACAGCATGAATCGAGGACACAGACACATACGCCCATGCATGTGTTGGTACAAAGCAGTTTTCTTCTTCTTTGTACTATTTTATAGCAATTTGCACTTTTCCCTGAAGACTACTTCTAATGTTAGTCAAGGATTCTTGCACTATAAACAGCTGTAATTAGGCATATTTTTCAGCCTCTCCCTAACTCTTGGAATTGTCTGTTTTTGCTACTATACCCTCTATAGCTAAATCGGCTTGTCTCAATGTACTAAGGCAGTCAAGTTTCAAGACTGGTTAACATGGTTCAGTTAGCCAGTCCTGTTGGAAGATACTGTAAAAAAAAAATCAATTAATGGTCATTCAAAAGAAGCTGCATGACTGACTACATATTTTTGATGCAAACAAATTGATAAATGTTTGGGGTGGTGGTAATATTGACAATGATGATGATACTGATGGAGATGACTTAGGCTGCGTTTACACTTGGCATTAACATGCGACCTGTATCCGGATTTTGTCCACATACACATTGAAAAGACAAGTGTAAACGGGCTTCTGATCGGAATGTTATCCGATCAGCGTGTCCTGGTCCAGAGTTAGTCGAGGACGCATTGTGATTGGATCTCAGTGTAATGTAAACGCAATCCAGCCATCGTGTCTGCATTCGCGCCATAGAGTGTGATAATCACTTGTCATTTGCAAGACGCCAAGAACATTGAATCATAGTAAATCAATATCCTAATTAACACAACCAAAGTATGGAAAAACTGTACCATGCCTTGTTTCCCCCTACGGTCTCTGTCTTTAATATTTTTTAATGTTGTACCAAGAGAAATGTTGCTGGCTAGTCTGACTCAGCCAAGTAGCTTCAGGCTGGAAATTGTCAGCAATTTTGAAATTGCAATAAAACTTTCCCTGGCAATTCTGAGGGTCTTTTGCTGCTGGAAATTCCATATAACCCACTATGCAGCCAGAATCAGGAATCTAAATAAACTTTTCTCATTATCTTGTTGGCACAGTTGAAAAGTCAAGGGGGTAAAGGGAGCACATGCCAACCCATTAAGGTTCCTACATTTTAACCATTTAAAATCAAATGAAATATGCTCTGATTTGGTGACAGAATCAACCATGGCAGCCTCCTGTCAATATTTGAGAGAGATGTTAAAGCCGACCTACAGTATTTCAGCACACTTGTTGAGTTGACTGAATAAGAGATGTGATGTCATATAAAATCAACTCACATTATTCTGCATATTCTTTGCTGAAGGCTGCTTTCTGCTCTTCAACTTAAAACTTGTTAATACACTAGCTCAAACCAGCCCCAAATGATTATGTTTAGCTTATGGACTAGTTATCACCACATACTGTACACAACAGTGCAGCATAGTATACATTCCTCCCTGCTTCATTGTTGCAAATTAAAGACAGTCACATTCTTGGCTCACAATCTTGCAGGCTAATTGACCCTTATTTGTCCCTATATTAGCTCTGCGATAAGGAGAAATCAGGTCAGTCGCCTTTTTTGGAAAGGTCTAGAACAGTAGATGGACTCTAGCCAGGTTTTAAGTGGTGAATTGGGAGAAACCTGGCAGCGGAGTGACCACAGTTGATAGGCTAAGCACGTTTTGAGTCCTTGTTTATCTGAGGTTTGGTTGTCTGTACCTGTGCCAATGTGACAACCTTAAACTGCTCATTTAAACTGCTCAGCAAGACATACCCAAGGCACATACTATCACAGAGGCAACACAGCTGGCTCGCTGCAATGTGGAGAGCGTCAATATTGTACATCTTTTTCTGGAGTATAGATGGTAAGAATAAGGAGTGTCAGAGGAAGACGTACAGTAGAAGTTGACAGAATCCTCAATGGAACTCAACTTTTGTTTCTGAATTATCATTTGCTTGAAAATGGACAGGCAACAAATCCAGACAATGGCCATCACAACTGCCATGCCTTATGTGGCCTCGTAGTTTTCACTTACACATAGGGCTGCAAAATAAATTGAAATAAATTGAGATTATAAACTGAGATTATATGGTGTAGATTTCAGTATTACATTTAGATCTACAATTGTTGAATCCAGATGTTCTATTTACAGCCTGTTCTTTGCATTGATGATGGAGAATCAACTTTATTTTGTGTGATTTGAGTAGCTTTTTAAGAAATGATACTTCCTGTACCAGCTATCACCACCTTGTTGTTGAATCCCATGTAGACCGATGTTGCCTCAGCACATGCTTGAATCCAGAACTGGATTTTGTCTGAAACGTAAAAATGCTTATTTTATTTGACATACTACATAATTGACAAAAAAAGAGGTAAAGTGAGAAATGCGCTCACAGAGACAGCCACTATGACACACCAAAACCCACGAAACACCAAGATTGCAACTTTCTTTGAAGACAGTGTGTGGTTGCCCATGAAAAAATCACTGCATAGCAACAACCTTCAGCAACCTGTGTTTCAGCACATAAGTTGTCTCCGTACATGCTTACGTATAAATTGGATTCTGTCTGAAACAGGATGCTTCTTATATGTGGTGATCTGCCAATCGAATGAAGAGAAAAAGAACACTAGAGATGGACAGCTGAGCTATGACTCATCCCACCATTCTAGAAGGAATGAAGGAGAACAGGTCACTTGACTCTGATATTTATGGATGTTCAGCCTGAACACACTTGTCAGGCAAAAACAAGGTGAGGAGAGAGGTGGTGAGAAAAAAAATATATAAAAACACAGGAGAAGACACCATTTATTGCACATCCAACACTCGCTCTGCCTATTTATAAAAGACAGGTCACTCTGCAATCCTGCAAACAAAACAGACGAATGAGGCATTGCAAGTAACTCAGAAAGGAAAGGGCAGTGTCTTCCAACACCCTATCCATTCCGACATCAAACATCAGCAGAATTTCCACAAGGGTTGTTTTGTACAAAAAGGCAAAGAAGACAGTGCCTAGTCAAAAAACTGAACAAATTTGGTAAAGAACTCACCTGTTTGGGCAAGTTGGACCACTCAGCTCATTTAAATTGAAGGTGCATCATATCTAAATATTATTCCACCTGTAGTGTTTACAAAATATCTGATGACTAATAGTTTGAAAATAAGGTGATTATTAATAATAGGCTAGCAACAACAAGTGGTACAAATAAAAGCTATATGAAATGTTCCATATGCCATTAACCTAAATACATTTGTGAAAAAAATTTGCCTCCTCATTTTAGAAGTCCACCACAGGTTTCACCATCAAAAATATTAACAAGGGGGGCATAAAACACTGTTCTCAACCTCCCACCTACTTTAGTGCACAGGCTTGTTTGAGCCGGTGTTTCAGAGTGAATGCAAACCCAGTTGGGGAGAGATTAGCCACATCTGAAGAGCAGTGCGGGGGCGTTAGCTTAGATACGGCTAATCCTGACACCTCTGTTTCTCTCTCCATCTCTCACTCTTGCCTCTTATGCCTCCGAGTCGTGTCTGTTCTTTTCAAACGAGAAGGTCTGAAAATCGGCTCACTGGAACGTCTAAGGCGTGTAGCGTCTGCGTAGAATCATGCATGATCTTTGGGGTTTTATGGCTTAAGAGACCCTTTTAGCTTTTAGAAGCCAAAAGAAGCTCAAAGACAGACATGGGAACACTAGTGGATACTTTTCCTCTAACTCTGTTAAAAAGATATGCAACACAGTCAGCTGAGGACAGATGGGATCTGAAATCATTTGCAGGACCCTCATGCAGTTAAAAACATGAATAATTCTGCAACAAATTAGAGGTCTATTGAGAGAGGAAGGGATTATGGAAAAACGTCAGTGCTTTTTTTTTAGAAATGTTGTAACTTTTTGGGTTCACATTAGAATATTTTCGGTCTGTCTGTCTCTGTGTGTGTGTGTGTGTGTGTGTGTG